AATCCTACAGTATGGTGGCTCAAGAGGAGCAACATCGCCGTACTTTATCTCCTTCTGACCCTGTGGTCTTTCAAACCTCTGCTCAACCCTATTATAGACCCAGATCTTTTTCATCTCCCAAACCAAAACCTCTTTGTGCCCATTGCGGGATGACTGGCCATACTATTGCTCGTTGTTATAAATTACATGGGTATCCACCTTCTTCCAAACTTCCTTCTTCTTCTAAACCCCCTCTTCTACCCAAACCACACCCGGACACCCCTGTAAATCCCGTGAACATGGTCCATTCTGCGAACAAATCTGCTATACAGAGTCCTTCTATTACTCCAGGACAGTTTACACTAGAGCACGCTCAAGCATTATTCGATCAACTGCAAAATCAGTTCAAGCATCTTGGGATCTCCTCCACTGATTCACATGTTGCAGCCTCTGCCACCCAGCCCTCTCTGTCAGGTACCTGCTTTATTTCCCCAGCTGTTTTTTCAGCTACTCATCTAGTTACTCCACCTCCACCTTATATCTGGATAATAGATTCTGGAGCCAGCCATCATATTTGTTGTGACTTGCAATTGTTTTCTGCTATACAACTCATCTGTCCCATTCAAATTACTCTTCCGAATGGATCTTTAATCTCGGTTTCCCTTTCTGGGACCATTCACCTATCATCAGGATTGATTTTATAGTCTGTTCTGTATGTTCCTTCTTTTCGTTTTAATCTATTAAGTGTCAGCTCTTTAACTTCAAATACCTCTTGTGTTGTTTCTTTTTGTCATAACTCTTGCCTAATCAAGGACCCTACTCGGGCCTTGACGATTGGGAAGGGTAGGCAAGAAAACAACCTTTACCTTTTGGATGTGCAGGGATTTCAACCATCTGCTGTCTCTCTTCCACACTCCCTCTGCACAGCCATTTCTTCTGTCGAGTCTGCTGAAATTTGGCACTCACGTTTAGGCCATCCTTCGTTTCTGCGTGTCTCAGAGCTGGGCAAATCTTCACAGCTTCAGTTCACTCCCACTAAATCGACTCTTCCTCATTGCTCAGTTTGTCCTCTGGCCAAACAACGCAAGCTACCTTTTCCTTCTACTGGCAATATCTCTGCATCTGCTTTTGATTTAGTTCACTTAGATACTTGGGGGCCTTTTCACTTACCATCTGTACATGGATATCGCTATTTTCTTTCAATAGTTGATGATTGTACTAGAGTGACTTGGATATATATGCTTCGACATAAACATGATGCTGTGTCTCTTTTCCCTCAATTCTTGAATCATGTTTTCACTCAATATCATGTTAATGTTAAGGCTTTTCGTTCTGATAATGCTTCACAACTCGCATTTCCGAAACTAATTCAAGACAAAGGCCTTATACATTACAAATCCTGTCCATACACTTCCCAGCAAAATTCCGTCGTCGAGCGCAAACACCAGCACATTTTAAATGTTGCTCGCTCTCTTCTGTTTCAGTCCAATGTTCCATTAGAATACTGGAGTGAATGTGTTGAAACTGCAGTATATCTAATAAACCGAACTCCAACTCCCATTCTTCATCATAAATCTCCTTTTGAGTGTCTCACAAAACAGAAACCTTCATATTCTCATTTGAAGGTTTTCGGGTGTCTATGTTATGTTGCCACTCCTACACATACTAGACACAAGTTTTCTCCTCGAGCTACACCTCATGTCTTCATCGGTTATCCTTCCGGTGTTAAGGGATATAGGGTGCTCGATCTGAATTCCAATTCTATTTTGGTTTCTCGACATGTCATTTTTCATGAGGATGATTTTCCCTTTAAAAACAAGCCTCTGTCTCCTTCGACATTGTCATTTTTCCCCCAGTCCCTTCCCATTTCATTCTTTATGAGTCTAATGATATTGCTAGTCAACCCCTCTCTATGTCTTCAAATGCTCCTTCGACATCTGTGGCAGAAATTCCTTCTGTTTCCACATCTGAGTTACAAGCAGAAAACACTCGCAAGTCACAGCGATCCACTAAAGTTCCTACATACTTATCAGATTATCATTGTTATTTGATTGCCAATTCTCATCCCCCACCTGTTACATCTGTCACACCTTATCCCATTTCTTCTTTCTTATCTTATGATTCCCTTTCTGCTCCATACAAATCTTTTGCCTTGACCATTTCCACCGAAACAGAACCCCGCTCTTTCAAACAGGCTATAGCATGTGATCAGTGGAAAGCTGCCATGGTTCTTGAACTGGATGCGTTGTCTCGCAATAAGACTTGGGATATATGCTCTTTGCCAGCTGATAAAACACCTATTGGCTGTAAATGAGTTTTTAAAATAAAGCACAAAGCTGATGGCTCCATTGATAAGTACAAGGCACGTTTGGTGGCTAAGGGATATTCTCAACTCGAGGGAGTTGATTTTCTGGACACTTTCAGTCCAGTTGCTAAAATGGCAACAGTTTGAACCTTGTTGGTTTTGGCTTCAGCTGGGCAATGGCATCTTCATCAAATGGATGTCTCTAATGCCTTTTTACATGGCGATTTATCAGAAGATATATATATGTTCTTGCCCCCAGGATATTGTGAGCTTAAGGGGGAGACATTCTCTAAGGACTCTGTTTGCAAGCTTCGGAAATCCTTGTATGGTTTAAAGCAGGCTTCTCGGCAATGGAACCTGAAGCTCTCTGAAACTTTACTTGCTGGAGGTTATGTTCAATCAGTTTCAGATAATTCTCTATTTGTCAAGCATGCAACGCATGGCTTTGTGGTTGTCTTAGTTTATGTGGATGACCTATTGATAGCTGGCAATGACATCCAATTAATTGATTCAACCAAGAAGCTGCTTAGTTCGAATTTCCAGATTAAGGATCTTGGGGTTCTGCGCTACTTCTTGGGCATCGAAATTGCCAGATCTAAGAGTGGTATACACATTTGTCAGCGTAAATATGCCCTGGAGCTTCTGGATGAATTCGGTTTTCTGGGCAGCAAACCAGCTTCGACCCCTATGGATCCTAAGGAGAAACTCTCTGCTGAGTCTGGTGATCTTTTATCTGATTCTACTCATTATAGGAAACTCATAGGTAAATTGATTTACCTCTCTGTAACTCGGCCTGATATTAGCTATGCAGTCCAGAAATTAAGCCAGTTTATGTCCCAGCCACGATTTGATCACCTTTCGGCGGCACATCGAGTTTTACGGTATCTTAAAGGTTCGTCGTCCCAAGGTCTGTTGTATCCGATTGACTCTGTTCTTCGCCTGAGTGGTTACACGGATGCCGATTGGGCGGCATCTCCCGACTCACGTAGGTCAGTTTCTGGTTTCTGTGTTTTTATTGGCAATTCATTGGTCTCCTGGAAATCAAAGAAACAGCAAGTCGTATCTCGGAGCAGTGCGGAATCAGAATACAAGGCTATGGCGCATGCTTCAGCCGAGCTCATTTGGTTTACAGGTTTGCTGCGTGATCTGAAGATTGAAGTCCCAATGCCCGTTACTTTATACTGCGATAGTCAGTCCGCCTTACACATTGCCAACAACCCGGTATTTCATGAGAGGACCAAACATATTGAGATTGACTGTCACTTTGTGAGGGATCAATTGAAGAAAGGATATTTGAAACCAATGCATGTCTCTTCTCGCGATCAAATTGCTGATGTGTTTACTAAACCTTTGGCCGGTGAGCACTTCGCCAATTTGTTATCCTATATGGGCATTCACGATATCTTTCGCCCATCTTGAGGGGGAGTATCAGCAACTCTTCTCTACGCCTTATTCCACCTCTGTCATGGCTCTGTTATTTGCTCTTTCCAGACTTATAAAACAGAGCATGAGAGAAACGGTATTCATTCCGGTTTGTAATTAGTATACCAATAATCCGGTATAGGTTTAGAATATCTTCGATTGATTTTATTGTTTTCCCACACCTTTTGTATTGTTAAAGGTTTGTTAGAGGTTGTTAGAGGGTCGCTTGCTGTGTAAATACACATGTACTATTGCATTGGAAATTAGAGAAAATTTTTGCATTCTGGCATTTGTTCTATTTTCCATTGCTTGTTCATTACAAGTTGTTAGCTTGCCGGTAGAACCGGTGGTCCGGTGAAGTTCACACGCACGCGAGTCGCAAACCGCCGGATACTGTTCATGGCGGCGACAGAAAAGTCCGGTTTGTCTGAGAAACCGTGTCTGTCAACTGTTGGACACAGAATTACAAAATTACCCACAACTTCTCAGAAAATAACGAAATTGCCCCTACGAGGGAAGAGGCGGGCCGCCTCCCTTTCCCT